GAAGTTGGAAAGAGAAAACACAAGCGATCACGAGAGACAAAACGTGATCGGGAAACCTGTGGGAAGTACTCCGAACCTGGAAGACAACGATACGATGCACGAGAAAATGATGGAGCTTGAGCCTCTCTTGGAAGCCTCAGGGGAGCGTAATCTCAGGAGCATTGAGATCTCTCATGGGGAATGCCCATGCCACTGTTTGGCACAAACGGTGTGGTATCCAGATCACAAGAACCTTTGCCTGGTGTGGGATGTGGAAGAGATTCGGTCGATCGGACTACCGGATCACCGGCAGAAGGTGACGCTCTTAGTAGTGAGTACGATGTTAGCTCTGAGATGGATAGAAGAGAATATAACGAAGTATCGGGAGGCGACGACGCCAACGGCTGAGTCAATATACGCGATAGACTATAGCAGGAGACTCGAGTTGTTTGAGACTGCGTGCAAAGTATTCGCCATACCGACGGAAGTCAGGCACGTATGGAGTCGCTTGAGGTACTTTCCATGGTTTCGGGCGACACTGACGTCTTGGTTGTACATGACAACGAAAGATCACATGAGAAAACATCAAAAAGAGTATCGACAGTTCCAGGCCGAGATTGGGCCGGAAGCTTTCAAGAGACCCCTGCTAACCCATCGTAATGCGATCACGACAGGGTGGAAAAGAGTGGGTAAGATGTCTAGAGACAATACCAAAGCGAGGGAGTCGATACTAGAGGAAGATCTGGCGAAGAACGTGAGCTTGAGCCTGCACAACTCCTTTTGCTTGAACCGAGAAGCTAGGGTGAAGGCACTACCCAACCAAGCAAAGAGGTTGCAGGAGCAGAGAGAATGGATGCGATCCTATGAACAGCTGAAGGCTTGGGAAGAGATTGTAATTAGTTCCGATGATGAAGAGGAACTGTTGAGACAGTTTGCCGCATCTAGCACTTCAGGATGCAGTACCTCCAAGGCGAAGAGTACGAGATGAATGGGCAAATCGGATGGATCTTGAGTCTTGAGAGGGAAGGGGGGCTTGAGCGTGGATCCGAGTGAAACTTGGATTCACGAAAAAGAAATTTTAACAAAGCAAATATTGTTACTAATATACTATATTTATTATATAAATCGAAATGCTGCATGACAATTTCCTGGTTGAATAGGACAAAAGAGATTTTAAAATGATTGGCTTGAAAAGTGAAAATTCAAGGGTGCAGGTGTATGCAGATTTTGGTTGCTGTTTAGCAATAGTGTGAAAATTTTAAATGGCTGTGAATTTTGGGGTGTAGATAAGCTTAAATCTGCTGCAAACTTCTGTAAATGACCACTGGCACTGTATCTTGAGCAACACTCGGTTTTTCTGGGACTCACTGGCAGAAGACAGCGCGCGATGGGGACATCGATCTCGAGTCCGGGGAGTATGTGCCAGTCGGTCATATTTGGAAGTTTGACCTTGAGAGGAGCAAAAAACACTTGATTTTGGAGTGAAATTTAATTTTTCAAAATTTCGAATGGAACCTGTCATGCACGATTTTCTCGCAAGAACTGAAAATCAGAAAAAGAAGTTAGAACAGTTTCAGAACAATTGAGTCGCATACGCGGGAAAGTCGCAAGAAAAAGCAGTAGGAAATTGCTATTCGCAATTTCCATCACTATAATAATCGAGAGTAGAGCTGTCCCATCTGTGACAGAGACGAGAGCATTCCCTCGAATTGGATTATAACGACTGGAGTATTATTCGGAACTGGACTAGAGTGAACCTTCGGTGGAAAAGTGGACAGCTTGAGTGTCCTAATGGTTCACAAGAAAACTATTGTCTAGAGTAAAAACTCGTTCTCATTGTCAAAACTATAAAACATTAGACTCATTTAGTTACGTTATTTAATTCTTGAGTTAACTACCAACTGGATTATTTCCCACTTCTTGAGCGTGCTACTATGTGAGTACAAATTTAAATTCCTAGAGTGTGTTTTATAATTGTTATGTTGAGGTAAGGCGAGTTTTAGGTTGATCCATCTGAAATGGATCAAAGTTCCACTGTCTAATAAAAATAAACTTAACGGATTGTTCCAACCCGGTTTTTAACGGCGTTCATGTATATTGGGTATCTAGAGACCTAAGTATGGGGACGTTTCTAATTCTAGAGTGGGGGGATATTTTAGTAGTAGCCTTTAAGCTGTAACGGGTCGTAGTCTCATGTCACAAACGAACCGAACTGGCTCCGACCGTTCTTGAGGTAGAAAAACACAAGAGATAGTGTCCCTGACCCGTGAGCCAGTGGTTATAGGGCCTATTTTTCTTAAGCCTCATGTGTGACTGCAGTAGACGAATGTTACAAATTAACACGCGCGAGGAGTTCAGGAGCAGGGAGCTGACATTAAAATTATAGTACATGTTTAAACATGACTAAAAATTGCAATTTTTGAAAAAATAAACTGACATGTCAGTTTGGATAAAACATCAAATCGAAAAATTATGACTCAAGTAACAAAAAAGTATGGAAATTGTCATAATCGATGAAATAATGATTACGTAATAACAGATGTAAGAATGTGATTGGTTAAAAATTTCTAACATGTTCTTTTTGAATTTCATACATGATCTTTGATCATTTTATTGTAAATAGAAATTTTTATATCCTGACGATGCACAAAATGTGCGAAAACGTTTGAATTAACAATTTTAAAAAATTCTTATAAACTGGAATTGTTTCAACGGAAACATTTTTTAGGCTCAACTTTGGATCGCGCAAAATATTAAATTTCTTAATAGAATTATAGTTCGTTTTTCGTGATAATTTTTGTTCCGCTTTTTTGATTTTTTGGCTGTTTTGGCTTGATAAATTGCAACGTGTTTTGTATCTGCGTATTGGCCTCATTGCATCTTTCGACAAGCGAAAAATTTCAGTGCGTGCGTTTCTGTGTTTTGAGGTTGAGGGCGACTTAACATCTTTGTCTTAATGTTTTTTGAAATTTTTGTTCGGCTTTTTATGTTCTCTTTTTGGGCTTAATAGGTTTCGGCCTATATTATATCGGCTTATCGTCATCGTTTTGTTTCTTTTGACGAAGAAGTAAAGTGTTTCGAGGGTGAGGTGGACTTATTAACCTATCAGAAGTCCGAATCTTGATTGTTTTCAGCTTAAAGGGTTTCTGACAAGGTATTTTCATCTTTGTTGCCGCTGGGTACATTATCTTCCGATGCTTATGATACATTTTATTGTCTTGTCATGTTTTCGTTTCAAAACTAGCCTTACTCATTTTAATAGATCTAGTTTTTCGAATTTTTCGATTTTGTTTTCATTTTTTTGATTTGTATCGCAAGTGATGCGAAGCTCAGCTTCGCCGCTGTGTCTAAAACATTTATCAACATTTGGTTATGAAGCGATGCACATGTGCATTTCTCCTGGAATGTTTTTTTTTCAGAGATGGGTTGAATCACTATGATAGAAAACAGTATCACTTATCATGATTGTTTATCATGACCAAATCAAATCATCATAGAAGCCCCAATAAAGGAATTACCAATGAGAAGTATGTAAATATTGCAGTAGTAGGGCTATCAGGACCGCCATCTCTTGTCGGCGAAAACGGTTAGTCGTGACCTTACCTTTTTTCCTCTTATGGCACTTCCCATAATAGCTCCCCAGCCTTGTTTTTTTTTCTAAAATTTTAGACCTCTTTACGGTAGGATTTTTGGGAATGGCTGTAATATGGTGTGGGGCGTGGCGTGGTTTTAATGGGAAAGAGCCCTTGTATTTTAGATGGATTTGACTCCTAAGTTTTTCTAAAATTTGGACGCCTCACTAAAATTCACCCCCATGTACAAATGTTTTTTTTTGGACCAGGTGTTGGAAAATCCTGTCTGTGCAATCGCTTTGTCGAAGAAGAAGCCGATAAATTCTACCGTCAGCACATATCATTCATATGCCATCAAGATTTCGTCAGCCCAGTTGTTAATCGCTGCCATTTCCTGTATTGGGGTTCCAAATTGAAGACGTGTGCGATAGGGGATTCTTTTCTTGGCGATAGGTGGTTCAATGTAAGCAAATTTTACATAGCTTACTTTGTACTTAGAAGAGGTGGATTTTCGTTATTTAATTGATAATTATCAGTTTAACTGTAGATCAATATGGCCGTGAAATTTATTCTGTTAATTTTTGTTTTTATTCAATCTAGATTGTGGAACAGACCGAATTTGTTGATGACAAATCCTTTGTGCCATTCAAAAGTGTTGGAAATTTGAATTACGAAAGAAGATGCTGTTCTTTGGACCTTGAATCGCCTAATAAATTGAAGTACATCTCGAAACACCAACTTGGTAAGTAGATTGCTAATGCTGCTTTTTGAAAATAGTTATAGTGGTTTTTTCTAATTTCAGCTATTTTTGTTCCGATCATTTGAAAAATGGACAAGAACTTTGTATTTGGGTGTGTTTCAGTTTTTTCTTTTTTTTCCACGCAAAATCAGCTACCACAAACTTTTTTTTTTGAGTTTTTTAGCGCCTTTTCGAAATCAAAAGTTCAAAAATTTGCAAAAAAAAAACGAAAAACTTTTGAATTTTATTTTTTTATTTTTCTGGTCATTTTTCTGCAAAAACTGTTTTTCAATTTGCGTATTTTACTATGGCAGTCGAATATGCCTAAGCTCTAGTTTTTCGTTAAGACCCTTCTTCTGACACCACTTTGAAAAACCACACTAATTTGAAAAAAAAAGTTTTTTTTTTAAGACTATGGTCGGAACACTCTTTGCTACTTGCACAATAACCGGCTATTCTCGTTGCATCTGAAATTTTTCAAAGTTTAAGGCTTATTGTTGTTCCGGTCGCGATTAGTCGACAGTAAAAACGTTTTCTATATATTTTTTCAGTGTCGAGAAAAAGAATGTCCCACGTTTCACCCCACACACATTTCGCCCCTCTTAAATCTAGTGGAACATTTCGCCCCTCTTAAATCTAGTGGAACATTTCGCCCCTCACACATTTCGCCCCTAATAATTTCACATTTCGTCCTCAAACGTTTCGCCCCTAACTTATTAAACAGTTAATTAACCGCCGCTTTCTTAACGTACAATTTGAGGGGCGAAATGTACGTGGGACGAAATGTGCCAGTAATTTATGAGGGGCGAGTACCCGAGAAAAACGAGTTTGAGTTTTTTGTTTTTAATATCAAAACAGAATGAAGATTTTTTTTTTGTAAATTCGTTCTTTTGTACTAACTGCTTTTTGAAATTCAGTGTTTTGAATTTATTTACTTGCTGCTTTTATTTTTTCATTACTAAGAAAAAGACGCTAAACCATTGCACATGTAAAATTACTCAAATGATGGAAAAGGCATTTGAATCCACATATTGATTACGTTTTCTGGAAATGATAGGTGCTATAGTATACAATTGGATATGTAGAACAGAAAAATCAACTTACAGAATTAAAGTATTTGGAGTGCTTCTGGATACACAAACTTTTGCAGAATCACAAGATTTTCACATTTTGAGCGATGAATTTTGAGTTTTGAACATTTGAAATTCAACGAATAAGGTTGTGTTGGTTTTTGAAACTGCCATCAGTAGCAGTGGTGGCTTCAATTGCTTGTGATTTGAGTGAATGAACGATCATCTTAATGTCATCGTAGTCTTGAAGTGTCGAGTTTCGCAACCAAATTATAATGGATACAACTTCGAGGTTGATGATTTAAGAGGAGGTATCAGAAGGATACAGTAAATCGAAGATACAGAATTCAGTAATTCGACGGGATACTGAACGGCATTTTAATCTTCTATAAATGTATCTGTTGATTGATAGTTGAATCTTGTGTTCGGAATACGGGAGAGCAATTTTTCTTTCAATGCCGAATCAGTTCATGTTAGTAAAGTCTCTTCGATATTCGTACATCTTGCATCTTCTTATTCTTGTCTAATATCCACAGTAGACCCTCTGGGATGTTCAGTAGTCCCTCATCTTCATATAGAAAAATACTTGTGGTAGAATACTTGGAAAGTGAACAGTTTTTTATTTTGTATCACCAAGAAAGCCAGCCCTTTTTCGGTTTTGATGTTTTCTCCATAAAAATGACGTTTTATGAAATCGTTGAATTCGTTGGCTCTTTTCGTTCTTGGCACTTTGTCTGTAAACCACAAAGATAAATTGATAAAAAATAACGGCTTTTTGTTTGTTTATTTATGTTTGTCGGCTTAATTGCCTCGTAGAATTGCTTTTTTAAAATTGTAGTTGCATTTAGTGTTTTGATTTACTTCTGCTGTTTGAAATTTTACTAGCCTCGACTTCGTATATTTTCTTTTTTTCGCTTAAAAACTGTATCCGCCCAAATGATTTCGGAATTTCGATATTTTATCATCTTGGATACAGTACAAAGGGCATGCTTCTCAGCAGGTTTCGCAAATGGTCCCATTGACGGTTCTGAAGTATCCGAAGGAGTATGGCCCTTTGACATTGTAAAGCAGCATTTGCAGATATTAATGTTCTGAATATCTCTGATTGGTTGTATAGACGGGTTTCAATGCTACAGCAATTTGTTTTCCAGGATTGTTTGGATGGTTTTATCCTATTTTCTCTTGTCCATATTTTCGTGACGCATTTTAAGTGAAGTAATTGTCGACTTCATGATAAATCAATTTACTTGTCGTCTAGATCAAAGCAAAAAATTCCATTAATATCGATTTCGTTGGTGTCGGTGCGAATTGTCCGATTGGATGATTCAATATTTTGTTGTTTTGTTTTTTGTTGTTGGAGATTGTAAATGGCACTATCTGTACCCTTCTTACACTTGCGTCTTGTAATCGGGAACTGGAAATTTTCTCATTCGCTGTCTCTTAGAAATTGACGCGCTTTTTAAAAATAAAACTCCAATTGCTTATGGAGCTTGCATATGCTATCGAGGTATAACACCTGGAATTTCCATAGGTCTAATGTTTGAGTCCCAACCGGACTTTGTTTTTTGCTATTGAATCTATTTTTTCGGCTCAATTTTTGTTGGCGTAGTTTCCGCTCTGAAACAGCCAACAAATTGACCGCGCTTTCTTATAAGACTCCAATTGCTTAAGCAGCTTGCTTAGGGTGTCGAGGTAAAAAACCTGCTTAAAGGTCCATAGGTCTAATGTTTGAGTCCCAGCTGGACCTGGATTTTTGTTAGTGAATCTAATTTTATTTCGGCTCAATTTTTGTTGGCTGTTTCCGTTTTGATATTTTTTCAAAATATCTACTAATTTTTTTGCTCGTGGCATTAAGGGATTTGTGAGCATTCAATACACGACACAGGAACTGATGTAGCAGTTAAATTGCGAGCGACCAGTTTGGGGCCTCTCAATGTCAGCAGTCTTGTGAAGCCGCCATCTGCCGGACCTCTTAGTCCATAGAGGATATATCCATCTGTTTCTATTGGAGTCTCTTCGACAAATCTTTATGGAATATACATGAAGCTTTTCGCTCCCAATCATCTCCAACCATTATGGATTTTTATCGGGGCGGACTTCCCCAGAAGTCTGCTGCCTTGTCAAAAGGTCTTTCAAAATTGTTTGATTTTCTCTGTAAATTCGGGCTTCTGATTTGCCGATCACGGGCTTTAAAGGCCAAAGTTCCTTGTGGTTTCAAGCCAAATGGATCGCAGATCATTCTTAAAAAATCTATGTGCCATTGGCCCGTAAGTACGGCATATATTTTATGCATGTATCGTACACTGCGAGTTAACGAAGTAGGAAAGGTTATCAGCTGTCATATAGGCCGTGCTTTTCATGCATGTATCGTATACTACCAATTAACGAAGTGGAATCAGTTATTCAGCGTTTTAGGCATTTCCTTCGTTATTGACATCATCTCAGAGATGCAAGTACTAACCCTTCTGCTCGCAGTGAGTGTTGCTTCAGCTGCAAGTACAGCAAGCGCTCAGTCTCTACTTATGCGTACATGTCTTCAATGCACTGCTGTCCTAAGTTCATAGAAATGAGATTGTTGATCAAAATACCACCTCTTATCATCAGGCACAGTGCCCCATTGCTGTCGGTTTTTGTTTTTGGATTTACAGGGGTGGTTTTTTGGTCGATTCGCCTTTGACTGAAGTTATATCCATCATCGTTGTATGGAATCAGCAGGGGGTAATGTAAAGCATTGTATGCTCCGTTTCAGAAGTCCTAGTTGAGGTATCACCAGTAGGAGCCCTTTAGTTTCAAAATGATGTCAATTTTGCGGCAACCTTATTAGGAAGAATTCGTGCAATTTCATTTGCAACACGTGTGAGTTGCATCTGCAAGCATGCTCTCCTGTTGGTTTTCGGTCTGCATGAATAACTTATTTACAGTCGAGTGAAGACTTCTGTTCGATGGCGTACTTGAAAGAAAATACAAAAGGATTGATTGTATACCCGAGCCTTGTGGGTTCCAGCGAAGCGCTTGCTTGATTACCCTTGCGATAAGCAAGGGCATTGCAATCAGTACTAGACTTTTTTCCCCTGTAAACAAGTTTGTTCACGACTGACTCATTTCTAGTGTACTTCTGATTTCATCTCTAGTACTACCTTCTCAGCGTTCCCGGTCCACTTCAAATTCTTAGCATTCCCGGTCCACTTAGCCTGGAGGTAACAAATTTACCTGGTGCAGCTAAGGTCCGTGGTTCGATTCTGACCGATTCAAAAAAATTGTCGGCTTACTATTTCTCTGCTTATGTTTTATCGGCCTAGTTGCCCTATCGTAGATTTTTTTTCTTGCTTTGCGCAATTTACATTGTAGTTGCTCTTAGTGTTTTGATTTACTTCTGCAGTTTGTAAATTCTTGACTTGTATGTTTTTTGTTTTTGCTTAATTTTTTTTGTCCATATGATTGTGCCTTACATTTTATCGGCTTAGTGACCTATTTTTGAGTAGTTTCAAACGAAATGTTTTTTTAATGCTCACCTCTGGATCACACAATTTGCTAAAGTTTTAATAGATATTATAATTTAAATTTTTCATGGCGTCACTTTTTTTCGCCATTTTAGTTTTTTTCTTTTCCGTTTATCGGCTTTATTGGTTTCGGGCATTTTTATATCGCTTTAATGGCCTCATTTTGCGTCTGTTGACCAGCGAAAAAAAGTGTGCGTGCGTGTGTGTTTTGAGGTTGAGGGGGACTTAATAGTTTTTTATTATTCTGAAAATATTTTGAATTTTTTTTCGTCTTAGTTGGTTGCGGCTTGTTTTATCAGCTTAGTGGCCTCATATTGGTTCATTTGACATGCAATTTAAGGTTTTTTTTTTGGGTGAGTTGAAGGCGAGGGGGACTATAATAAGTCTTAAGTCTCGTTGATTTTTTCTTCGGCTTAAAGGGTTTCTGCTAAGGTATTTTCGGCTTTGTTGCCGCTTGGTAAATTTTCTTGCGATGCTTATTTCACATTCTTCAGATGCTAATTTCACATTCTTCAGATGCTAATTTCACATTCTATTGCCCTGTGTAATTGTTGTACCGCAAGTGATGTGAAGCTCAGTTTCGCCGCTGTGTACAAAATTGTCTTTTGAAGCGTATGTCGAGTCGAAGTGTATGTCAGGTCACAACTTCGTTCGTTCTATTTGAAGATTCAGCGTTTCCCTATTACTGCGATTTTTGAGTACACATTTGATACCTTTTCAAACCGGTAGATCTTCGTTTTTTGACTCAAACATCTTTTGGTAAAACAATGAACGATCCCTTGATGACCACGCACCCCGCTTCCATACAAAAAACTGATATGGCATTGGAGTTGAATGTAGACCGTTTAGCTAGCATAATAATATCATAGAATTGCTTCACGTAGGCCTCAAGATGACAAACGCTTGTCCTTTTCTCTTCGTTCTCCTGTTGGTATCAATACAACTTCCTCCGGCTTCAAAGATATTTGTAATGCGTGACCTTAAGGCATTGCAGGTGATTCAGAAGCTATGTTTCTTTTGCTAGCAGTATGAAAACACTTCTTGCAACTCAATTACAATCAAATTATTTTCCTTGGAGTACGTATGATAAATGTACAAACTTGGATTTTTGAAAGATAATTGAAGTATATATCACCTTTCAAACCTTATGC